ATTTGAAGAGTCTGGATAATTACGATACATTTTTATATATTTGACTGTTCAGTATTTTAACATTAATTCTACTAAGTTCCTCATTTAAATGGCACTTTTCATACATTTTTATTATTTATTGAATTAGCTGTTTTTCTTTTCATTAAATGGCCATTTTTTTATTATTATTATTTAACTCTCAATCAACCTAGATTTGACATACTTGTGTAATATTTTGGGTGTCACCCTAGGGCTGGACCCCAATCCATGTCTTTTAAAGAAAAGTTTTATGTTTTACCAGTGGGGCTTTCTCAGAGAGGTGTTGGTATACACCCACCTTAGCATGATGCTAGTCAGATTATCTGGAGTTTCACCACAATCCGTCTGTGCTTCTAATTGTTTAATGGATATTCTACCTGGATATACCACAAATACCTCATAATTTAAAATAACAGTATAACTTCTTTTCTTCACCACTGAAAACCCCTCCTCCTCACCTGGTCCCTGTCTCCCAGAATAGCATGACCATTCATATGACATCCAGTCTTTTTTTAATATATATGTTTTTATTATTGATTATTTAGTGAGAGAGGAAGGGAGATATAGAAACATGGGCGTGAGAGGGAACACCCACCAGCTGCCTCCTGCACACCCCCCACTGGGGGTCAAGCCCACAACCTGCACATGTGTCTTGACGGGGAACCCAACTGGGACTGCCCAGTCCAAGGGACACGCTCAGTCCAAGGGACACGCTCAGTCCACTGAGCCACACCAGCTGGGCCGACACCCGGTCCGGAAAAGATATCAGTCTTTCTCTTCCTACTTTCTCTATATCCAATCAGTTACCAAGTTTGTTTAGTTCGACTTGAACAGACCTGGAAAATACCCCCAGGTCTGCCTCATTCCGTTCACTTTACCTTCCCCAGGCGGGGCCTTGCCGTCTGCTTTGGGGAAGCGGGAATATTAAATATTCGGTGACCACATCTGTCTGTATGCAGTCTCTATTTTATCCTGCTCATGTGATGTGATGTCACACAAATTACTTTTTCCTAAATATATACTTGAAGATGTGAAAAACCACCTAAAACCCTTAGAAGCATCTCTGTTTGCTTAAAGGACAAAGACCGAACTCAAGAGTAAGGCATGTATGACTCTTCATATGCCTGACCTGCTTTTGTTTTTATCCTCATCCGAGGACATTTTTCCTTTTTATTTTTTTTGATTCAGATAGCGTGGGAGGGAGAGAGAGGAAGAGAGAGAGAGAAGCATCGACGTGAAAGGGACACATCGAGTGGCTGCCACCCGCACGACCCAACCAGGGCCGGGGACAAACTGCAACCGAGGCACGTGCCCTTAGCGGGAACCGAACCCGGGTCTCTCCGGACCACAGGCCGACGCTCTAACCGCTGAGCCAAACCGGCCAGCTGCTTCCTTTGAGCTCATCTCCACCCACCCGAGCGCTCCTGTCAGATTTGCCATCATAGATTACTCAAATTTTCTTCAACTCACCGTGCCATGGGGATTTTCAGTACATGGAATCCCACTCTTTCTTCCTCTTTTAATGATGTACTTCTCTCCATTGGCTTGCTTTGTCAAAAGAGAGTAATCTTGTCTTTTTTTTTTTTTTTTTTTGGTACTTTCCCCTAACGGGGACTGAACCCAGGACTCTCTGGTCCGCAGGCTGATGCTCTGAACGCTGAGCCAAACTGGCCAGGACGAAAGAGAGTAATCTTAAGAAGCCCCTTGAGCCTCACCTCCTTTGGAAAGTCCTCATTTCTGGAGACAGATTTAACTGTTCCCTCGTGCCTTTAAATCTGCACTTTGCACGTTATCATATTTCATTATAGATAGCTGTTTACAAAGCTTATTTCCTTCGATTGTAAAATCTGGAAGCAATAATGACTCTCAGCATTTACTGACTGCCCCAAACACTCAATAAACGTTGAAAGTTCGTGTGTCGCACCTTCCTGACTCCTCCGGAGAGGGGGCCGTTCCTGTCCCTACTGTACAAATGGGAAGAGCACCTGTATCCTCTTCATCTTCTCTCTTGTCACTAGACGTGCAGTCTCACGAAAATATGTATTTTATTAGAATGGTGTCTTGTTTATTATACTGAATTGGTTTAATAGTATTTTCCCAGGAAACAGAAGCAAGAGGCATCTGTATGTTACTTATCTCACCCAATGAAAGTAAATATTTTATGTTGAATTTTTTTTCCTTTGAGTAATGTGAGCGTTGCTTTGCTCAGGGTAATATAATTTTGATGACCAGGCAGATCACAAGTGAGTGATAAAGAGTGGCAAGATGGAACAACAGAAGATGATAAAAGATCACTTGAATAACACTAGATGTACATTCTCAGAAAGAAAGAAGCAAATATCCATGTCCCAGAGCTAGTTAAGATCGTAGGAAGAAGAAAAGTAGTGATGTTGACACAAATACTTTGGTCTGAATGCCTAACAGACATTTCGAATTGAACATACACCCAGGGGAAACTTCGGATTATTTACCCAGAGACTATCATAAGAATGCCAGTTAAAAGGCTCAGGCAAAACTTGCTAAAATAAAATCAAAATAAGAGAAGAAGACCGTTACAGACTTTTCTTGAAAACACACCTTAAGATTTATTATGACTGTCATATCAGAATTGGTCTAACTCTACCATTTTAGCTCACAATCATTCAAGAAAAAGAAAAAAAATCCTAAAAGAAAATTTAAATCACTAGGAGACAGGATTAGCTTCCCAAATGCTATGCCGAGTAAGTTATAATAATAAAAACATTAATATTCACACGAGAAGGGTACATTTTAGCTGTCACCTAGACTGAATCTAGTTATTAAAGAGCTTTTGGGAAATTCAGGTTCCAGCCAGCGACACCTGTTTCGCTCTTTATTAAAAATTAACGGCTCTGTCCTCACTGCACACCCCTGGCTCGCTGCTCCTCAGTTCCCACGGCTGGAGAGAAAGCACACGCCCGTGAAGTGTGCGTGTGCTCGGGGCGGCGGTCACCGCGGTCACTTCTGCCCCACCTACTTCGGGCCGCCCTCGCTCTAGTTCTTTCTGTTGGCACCCTCTGCGGCTCTGCGGAGGGTGCACCCCAACCCCCAGGGCCCTCTGGTCATCGCCACGGGGGTCCTGCATCGTTCCCGTGGCCCCCAGCTGTGTTACCGCGGGTCATGGTTGCAAATCCGAGCTGCTGCCTACTTGGCTCCGTTTTACAGCACAGCTTCCCGAAACCCTTCGTCTGGGTGGCCGTGCCGTCCTCCCTGCTCACCCTCCTGGAAGCGCCCGCCGGGAACTTACGCCCCATGTTTCACCCGAACAGCCCTTGGCAGCCGCCCGGAGTGTCCCTGCCGCAAGTGCAGCGGTTTCTCCTCTGCTGAGCCTCTCGGTCTCTCCACCTAGACACCGAGGCCGCGCGTTCAGGTTCTAGAGGCGGTTTTCTCTTGCTTCCCAGCGAAGGACTCCAACGCGATTCTCCTCCTCGTCCCGGGCTCCCCCCCGGGTCTCTGTGCAGGGAGAGTCCATCATCTCCTTTCTTCATTCTCTCCCAGGGACATTTCAGCCGGCGCTACCGAGCAAAGTGCCACCCGGATGCCAGCGACGGAAATGAACAACTCGGTCGGCGACATTTCCCCCACCCCAGCCCTCGTTCGTCTGTCTAATTAGCTACTTGACATTTCAGTTTGAATGCATAATAGATCTTTCAAATTCAACACACAGGGTGAAAGCTTGCGATTTTTACTCCACGTCCGCCCTTCTGGTCTACCCCATCTTCCCAAGTCCCACCATCCGCATTTCTGATGCGAAAGCCCACACTCAGGAATCTTCCGTGAGTCCTTCCTTCACTCGTACCCATCGGCTAATCCCTGATCATATCCAAAATGTGCCCCTCAACCTCAACTCCACCACATCTTTGCTACAACTTTCCATATGCCAAGCAGAGAGTGATATGCTTAGCTATAAAATTTCATTTGCTGATAATATCTAGTTACAGTTAATCTCATTATATCTACAGTACCGTTTTTTTTTTTTTTCCTTACAATAACTCTCGTTGGTAGGCAGTATTCTAATAATCTGTCAGAGGAAAAAAGTATGACCATAGAGGTTCAATAGCTTACGCAAGTTTACACAGATGTTAAATTTGGGAATAGAAATCTTTTCTGAAGAATTAGACCTTGTACCAACAAGCAATACTGTTTCACAATTCTGAGTTTTATTACGAATCCTTCACGTAGTATCAAATACTTAACTGTGTTTTGATATCACCGAGGATAACTTTACGCAGCATATTTAGCACCATTCTAGGGTTATTTCTTACATACTTTTAATTCTTTCTCCTTAAATATTGATTTGAGAGAGAGAGAGAAACATCGATTTGTTGTTCCACTTATTTATGCATTCATGGGCTGATTCTTGTATGTGCCCTGATGGGGGATTAAACCCGCAACCTTGACATATCCAGGTGATGCTCTAACCAACTGAACGTCCAGCGAGGGGCCATACTTTGATTTCTTAAGAAATTGATACTTCATTCATAAAATTTCTGCCACCTGTCTGCAAATCAGCATATTTAATGACCATGGACTTGTTAAGGCTGAAAACAGCAAAAGCCATGTCCCCCAACAGGGTCTTCAGCACTACTAACTCCAGCCTTAGAAGTTTTACCTCCTAAATACTGCCAACCGTTTAAATCAAAGTAACAAATGCACAGCTCACCTGACCAGAGGGAAAATGTTGACTCAGCACCTTGGAAAAGGATCTGGTTGAATTATGAGTCATCTCATTTTGCAAAGCAGCAATAAAAATGAGCCTTTCATTTTGCAGAGGTACCTCTGGCATTTACAGCAGACGATTAAAATAAAGGAGAAAAATAACTTTCGCATTTTATTGGAACACAGACCTTTTATCCTGGCCATGCATTTTTCCCTTGCAGAATCCATTTATCAAAAGAAATGTCTCCACGGGTTGTTGCCAAGGGTCCAGTTATTCCCCAGCATCTCCAAAGACCGAGACTTACCTTATGGAAGTTTCTGAAATATGCTGCCTTTTCATCTGGAAATTTTTCTAGCCTTCTGGGTCCTTTACTAGAAGCCTTCTTGAACACCAACCAACATCGTCTGAAAATCTGAGAGGAAATAAAGGAATCCTATTACCTATCTTTTTTACATGAGTTTAGTAGCATCAGGAGTTTATCTAGTCAATTAATCCACTAGGCATGCATTTTTAAAATGCACTTTAAACAATGAACAGGGTAGTACAATACAAAACAGGTAGAATACTCGTAGCAACGGACTTTGCTCAGCATGTGTACAACCATTATGGACACTGGCATATATTGTACAAATCATTGCTTGTACTAATATATTGTAAAGCTTTCAAATAATTCCGATAATTTGGAGAAATGTTTTATTTATTTAATTTTTTTTCTTTATTTTAGAGAGAGAAGAAGTGAGAGGGAGAAATAGATAGAAACATCGATGAGAGAGAACACTGATTGGCCGCCTCCTGCATGCCCCCCACTGGGGATCTGGCCCTTAACCTGGGCATGTGCTCTGACTGGGAATCAAGCCTGCAACCTCTTGGTGCATGGGTCGATGCTCAACCACGGAGCTACACCGGCCGGGTGAGACTTATTTTATATATAATGATACAATAGGCAAAACTGCTAAAATATGTCATTGAATACAAATGTGTTCCTGCTCATTTAACAATGATTTGGATACTGTTCACCGACATAGCTATTTATATATCTCGACACCCAGCTGACAAATTTTAAAAAAATGTATCAAATTTACTGTCTTGCTAAAATTACCCTCTCCACATTACAACATGAAGTAGTTTTTGCACAGAATAAATAATTTCACTCCGTTTTAATATAAACCATACATGCTTCTATTAGGATTCCGGGTATTATATGGTAATACCTAAGAATCTAGTTTTTAAATCAGAACAGTTTTATTTCCAGCGCAGGTGGAAACGCCTTGTCTTGCAGAAGTTGTTTTACCTGCTCTAAGACCCGGCCTCCTCATCTATAAATGAGGATCCACGTGCCGCACGACCTTGCTGCTGTGGCTTTAAGGACGCAGCCTGCAGACAGCGTCTGGCCTGTGTTTGACGTGCAGCCCACACACTCTCACCAGAACTCTTGGGTTCCGATGCTGCTCTGGGCTGAACCATGTGCCCCTCGAATTTGTATGTTGAACTTCTTACCCCCGAGGTGGTCATATTTGGAGCTGGGGCCTTTGGAAGATGATTAGGGTTGGATGCGGTCGTAAGGGTGGGGACTTCACGACAGGATTAGTGACCTTATAAGCAGAGACTCGCTGTCTCTCTCCGAGCTCACAAACAGAGAGGTCCCCGGAGGGCCACTCGGAAAGGCAGCTGTCTGCAGCCCAGGCCCGCCAGCCAGGGTTCTCCCCGGAACGTGGCCGCGCCCGCACCTTGGCACTTTCAGCACCATGAGAAAATACACGTCTGTTGTTCCAGCCCCCCGGCGTTGTGTGACGGCACGCCAAGCTAAGACACAGTTTAGGTTCATCTTATCCGCAGAGACAGGGTGAAGGTGGCGGAGGCCGCCCAACAGGAACGCATTGTGGGAGTGAGACAGAGCAAGCTGTGCGGAAATTTGAGAGATTGAAAGCAGATAAGTAAAAACATCATTGCAAGTGGGATGCACACAGATGATCCGTATTTCTCTCCTGGTTATTTAATGGGCTCGGAATCCCAGGCGAGGTACAGAGCCTCTCGTTGAAGGGCACTGGGGCCCGACCCTGGACACACGGGTTCTGTCCCTTCCTACAGAGGAATGCTTGGCCCTGGGCCCTGTGTGCTCCTCACTCAGGAACCACGGGGCTGTCCAGTGAAGCCTTATGATATCCATGGAAACACACAAACACACGCTCACTGACTTCGTGCCCCGTCGTGCATGTATAGTTATTTTCTATTAAAGAGTGAATTAAACATGAGTCAGAAAGCAGAAGTGTTTCCATTTAGCACTCAGTATTACTACAGCAAAACCTGATAACAGATAATAAGGAAACAGATTTGGTATTTTCAATAGTATCTTATCTCTTTGCTATGACATTAACAGAGGCAACCACATATAGATAAAACGGACTGTCAAAGACTTGACGTAATTGACTGTCTACCTAGCCGAGGCCCTTCAGTTCTTATTTTCTTATTTCGGAATGATTTTAGAGTTATAAAATATTTGCAAAAATGGTGCAGAGAGTTCTTGTAAAAACTACTTATCTCCGATATTAAATCCGAAATAATCATGGTACAATTTTCAAAACTAAGAATTAACATTGGTAAAATACTGTTAACTGAAGGCAGACTATCTGTAGAATTCACCGTTTTTCCCCACTAGGGTCCTGTTTTGTTTCGGGGACCAAATTCCAGTTAGTTGTCCTGTCTCCTCAACCCCTTCTAATCTTTGATAGTTTCTTTGTGGTTTTTTTGTTTGTTTGTTTTTTGCTTTTCACGACCTTGACAATTTTGAAGACTATTTTGTACAACATTCTCCAATTTCTGTTTATCTCCGTTATTTTGATATTTCCAAAGTCTAAGGACCATCTCACAGTAAAGCGATGCACACAAATAAGTTGTTGGGGAAAATGATATGAACTCGTCATGGCTGTAGGATGGTTATACTCTGATCAGCTGTATACTTGGATTTGTAAACTCCAAGTAGTAAAAGAATCACTTAATACATACAGAAGTTGTGTGCGTGTGTGTTGTGGGTTTCTTTTTTTGGACCTCGTTTTAAAAAATGTTTTGCTTGTGACAGGGGTCAAATAACAAAAGGCCGTGGTGCAGAAATGAGGAGGCTGTGGGTGTGAAGTCAGCTCAGCAGAGCCAGAGCTGGGACCGCAGCCCTCCTTCCCCACGCAGGGGGTGGGCAGAGGCACAGGCCACCAGCTCCGCCCCCCTCTTCAAACAGGTTCCATAGGCTACGTGCTGCGCGAGGCCCGAACCCCGAACCGCGCCTCCTCGGAGCAGGTTGGAGAAATTACAGGGCTGAGCAGTCCGACGCCTGCCCGAGGCCAGGAATCAGCCCTCTGGGAAAGAGACAGAAGGGGGTAGGTTTTATTTTGCTTCTACATGAAAGATCCCAAGTCTTCCAGAACATGAAAGAGAACCACATACATAAAAGCAGGTACCAGGTTTTTATTTTCTCCCCATGAGACAAAAGAGCGAAATGTCCTTTGTTAGCGGGGGTGGGGGAGATGGGGTGTGCTCTTTGCTCTTCAAGGGCATCTGGGCGGGGCTGCTGGCAGAGACCCTGCTCAGACCACTGCCTCCAGGCTGTCCCCCAGTGGGCGGCCTGCCCCCTGCCTGCCCCTGGTTGTGCAGACGCTGCCCCCGCCCAGGGGATCACTGACTTCACCTTCCCATGACAGCTATGCCCTCCGCCTGCCACTGTCTCACCAAACAGGCTCCTGGGTTCCCTTCAGAGTTTCCTTCCAGAAAAACCCATGTAGTTGCCAAAAATCTAGAAACCCCAGGAGCCCAGCAGCCCCCGGCCTCTCCTTTCCTCTGCACGGGGCCAGCTTGCTGGGATAGCAGAGCCCTCACTCCCTTGTCCTGTCCAAGGTCGTCACGGAGGACACCCCGTCCCTTCGACACTGTGACGCAGACGGCGGTTTCCTGGCTCTGGCGCACAGCCACGGCTAGTCCCCTGGCCAGGCCCGCTCATAAGCTCGCACCGAGCCCCACGTCAGGCTGAAGGGGCCTGTTCCTGCACGAGGGCGGCGCAATGAACCCCACACTGCAGACAGGGTTCCGGTTAGGTACCTGGACGCGTTTCTGACCCCAGGGGTCCACCCACTCAAGAGACTCACGGGAACTTCGCCTCTGGAGATTTCAAGGAATGTAGAAGAAAGTGGCGGGGCTGGGGTGGCTCATGCTGAAAGCGAGATGCTGTATCATCAATGGCTCGAGGTACGGAATTCCGTTATTTATTCATAAGGGTGTATCAGATGAATATATACCAAGATGACAAATAAATAAACAAATACCAAAACCCATCCAGGGAAAGTGACTGCAGGCTTATGCTCTGAGTACTTCAGTCACTTAAGTCCTGGGTCTCGGTCCCCTCACAAAGTGTTTATGTACCATTGAAAGACACACTCATTTTTATTTTTAAGAGAGTAGTTAACAGTCCTGGCTGGTTTGGCTCAGTGGTTAGAGCGTCGGCCTGCGGTCCAGAGAGACCCGGGTTCGGTTCCCGCTAAGGCATGTACCTCAGTTGCAGTTTGTCCCCGGCCCTGGTTGGGTCGTGCGGTGGCAGCCACTCGATGTGTCCCTTTCACGTCGATTTTCTCTCTCTCCCCTTTTCTCTCCCTCCCACTCTATTCTAAACAGAAAATGGAAGAATGTCCTTGGGTGAGGATAAAAAAAAAAATAGTAGTTAACATACATAAATATATGTCTCCATTAAAGTATAAACAACCGGTGTGGCTCAGTGGTCAAGCATTGACCCCTGCACCAAGAGGTCACTGGTTCGATTCCCGGTCAGGGCACACGCCCAGGTTGTGGGCCTGATCCCCAGTGTGGGGCATGCAGGAGGAGGCCGATCAATGTTCCCTCTCATTGATGTTTCTCTCTCTCCCTTCCTCTCTCTCTAAAGTCAATAAAGGAAAAAAAATTAAATATAAGCGAAAGGATCACAATATTAAAAACGTCTTCCCTTCCTTACCGGAGTATAATTTAAAGTTCATATTTTTTGAGAAAGTTCTCGCCAACTTTGGAACTCAAGAGAATGCTCTGTCTGCTTCATTCACCATTGTTTAAAACCAAACATACATATGGGTATTCATTAACACTGAAACAATGCTTAAAGGACAATCATCTATCTCAATTTTTCTCACTTCATGTCCTTGAAAAGACCAAAGTAAATGTTAGTGCTTGCTGATTCTATTGTCTTGCTTTCTCTCTCTCTCTCTTTTTTTTTTTTCATTTATCTTCAGACAGAGAGGGAGGGAGAGATGGAGGAAGAGAGAGAGAGAAACATCGATGTGAGAGAGACACATCGACTGATCACCATCCACACGACCCCAACTGGGGCCAGGGACAAACTGAGGGTTGGGGGACAAACTGCAACTGAGGTACATGCGCTTAGCG